ATTATTATTACTATTATTATTATATTGTTATTATTATTATTGCTTCTTTATTTTATTTCAATTATTAAACTGTTCTTATGTCAACCCAGGAGTGTTTCTCACTCTTACTCCTCTGATTCTCTCCCCCATCCCATCGGGGTAGGGGGAGTGAGCGAGCGGCTGTGTGGTGCTTAGTTGCTGGCTGGGGCTAAACCACAACATAGATCATCTGCACCTTTTACAACTCTAAGAGAAAATAAATACAACGAAGAATACTTTGCTTTTCAAAGTCTAGATTCATGGAATGCTCTCTAGAGCTTTTTAGACTTTTTGGCCTTTTTAGGACTCTGCAAAAAAGCATACTTTAAAAATGCTGACCCAGCTAAAAGTCTTATGCCATTGCTATACAGCACATGTGAACTTGAATTTCTTAAGTCATGTTTTAGTTGTCCTGGACACCTATGGACTAGCAGAGTAAATAGATTGAATTATAAAATATGGAATTTTAGCTGGATGCAAGGTACCATTTTAAAGCATACTCACTGATATAGCCTGTGCTTCTACAACAGTTTCTGTTCAGTCGTGTTTGCTCAAAGAAAAGAGAATATCATACTACTGTTAACAAGTATGAAATGGAACTGCTTGAGGAAAAGAGAAAACAAGATCAGCTACAAGTTCAGATTCGGTGTCTCAGGAAGATTTATTTGAACCAGAATGAAACATCTTCACAAGAGTTAAACATCAGTGAAGTACTGCAGAGTTTGCAGTTGGAGGCAGAGGTAGTATTCAAAACAATTTTCAGACAAAGACTTGCAAATTTCACAGCATGGGATAATGTGGTGCTAATCTAATGACATTCCTTTTATCTGTTAAGACTTCATTTAAAGGGTGGGGATAGAATTTGGGGGTTTTTTAATGCTACTAATTCTATAATATGAAGTTACTGTTTTATAAAGTGGCTCAAAGTGAAATTATTCGGTTATAAAATAGTGGGAATGTTATTTATTCATTTGCTCTGTAAAATACATACTACCTAATACCAAGATGACTTTTAAAACAATGAGATAAACTTTTACTAACATGCATATTTTTTCCCCTTTCCCCTTCTCACCTGCCCCAGGAACATAGATTGTCTTCTCATTTTCCCAGTAGTATGTAATTTAAGTATAGCAAAATTCCTTCTATTCAATAATTAGATGCTGAAACAGACTTCCTGCAAATATTGATAGCTAGAGGGCAAAACATATATCTAGACATGTAGTTATTAAAGCAATATTTAAACTTGAATTCCCTTTTTTTTAAGAGCATTCTCAAAGATGTATCAGAAATGGAAAGTGAACTTCTCTGCATAGAGGCAGAGTTACAGCAGGAAGAAAGTGCTAGAAAAGAAACAATGCAGTTCTGGGAAGCTTGTTCAGGAACTCACTGTGATGCAGAGGAACTTAAAGAAGAGTTAAAGAAAGATAACGAAAGACTTTTGCAAGTCATTAACTTCTGGACTCCTAAAGTAAAGGTAAAGTTAAATCATCTTTAATCAGAAACGTATTTTGTGTAAGCACTCTGCAAATGCCTCCGATCTGATCGAAAACAAAAACCAGAAAAAAGGCTGTTTAAAGATCACTCCTTATTATCAGCACTTACTATACTCGACTGTAAGATGTAGGAATATTTAGAAGAAGATTTTTGAAGGCTTCTTTCCTCATGCATCTGAACTCGGAAACTTGCTTTGTAAAAGACTTTCTAGGTGATTAATGGGTGGCAGGGGTTGGGGGGGGTGGTGTGTGTGTGTTTGTTTTTATTAGACTGAATTCTGGAAACTGTAGGCTCAAAAACCATTATATAGCTTTGCTTGCAGAACTTGGCAGCCTGATACAATCACTTTCTCCAGGCTTTATGCCCACAAGATTGTCTTGCTCTGCTGTCATGTGGTCCTCATGGGATCATAGACTCATAGAATGCTTTGTCTGCTCTCTTCAAGCTAACTTTATCAAAACTACTTCAGCCATTTTTAAAACTCAACTGTAATTTATATTCTTACACCTTTTCTAATTTCAGAAAGTCAAGTTATTCTAGATGTGGTTTGGTCTTCCTCTTTCTTTTCTTTCCTCCTTCTTACCTCTTGCCCACTCTGGAAAAAAAGACCAAGTGTTTTACAGGGTTAAGTGCATCATGAATAGGATTTCATGAGAATTCATCTTTCTGATAAATGTATCAAACATTTCTCAAAAAACATGTTATGGGAGGGAATCCACTACCTTCTGATTAGTTGTTAGGAACAGTCTTTGTAACAAGTGTATCCTGGAAGTTCCTGGTCTGTTCATACTACTATTCCTTCTACTAGTATTGATCTGAAGTATGACGAGCTCATCACCCTCCTTCCCCCAATGTTGTGACTCAGTTCTGTCCTGTTAAGTTTAGCCTATTATAAAAAGTTTCTTCTGTAGAGTCAATAGCCAGTCTTGACTTCTTCAGGATTTCCCAATGTTGGCAGGCTTTTTGGAAGAATTCCCTGACAGATATATTATGTGGATCAAAGCTTTTACCTAACCAAAAAAATCTAGTGTAACATTGTCATTTCCTAACAAGCGTGAAGTTTTTCTTTATCTGACATGTTAAGCATATGGGTTTCTAGAATAGTCCAATGTGTATGTTTTCTCTCAAATGGTTTCACTTAATGAAACTTAATGAATACATTCTAGCAAAAACTTTTGCAAATAATTGTGTTTCTTTCCATTATTGACATTCAAGAAGACTTTCCAATATAGTTCCTTTGTTTCTGTGATGTTAGTGTTTGAGTTAACGCAGAAATTTGCAATGATAAATTTGGTATGCATCATGTTCTTCTCTTCTACCCCTTCCTGGCCCTGCCCTCGCTTTGGAAATGAAACCAGTCTTTTGAGTGTTAGTGATTCCATTTCTGATAGCAAGCATCTTCAAATGGGACACTGAAACAAGAATGTGAAATTAATACAGGCCAAGATACTTCCTGTTTCTTCACTTACCTTATTTCTAGCTGATTCAAAAATTGACACTACTTATTTTCAGATACTACTTCAACTTTCTTCAGAGCTAGATGTCAGAACTGCCAATTATTCTAAAAATGCTGATGTTGAATTGAAACAGAGAAAAGGGAAAAGTGAAGAATTGCTTCAGGAACTGAACGCTCTTAAAGAACAACTGGCCCCTGGTGGCTCTGCCAGTCTCGCATTAGAAGAAGAGAACTACAAGCTGCATAACAAATTAAAGGCTGCAGAGCAAGATATAAAGGTACAAATATTTGTTTCTAAGTGAAACTTCTTTGATGCTTGTCTTGTAAGTGAGAATACTTCAAACTGAAAAGAAAATAAAGATTGATGGGAACTGTAAATCTGTGCCACACAATATATTGACCCAGAGCTCACTTTATTTTTGTACCTTTTTTTATTCCCAAAGTGAAAGTTTGAGCTCTTGCATGTAATGTGATTATTTTAATTGCCTCTTTTCTGTACACAAATAGATGTCAGTGTAGAAATCCATGTGAAAAGTTCCCATTCGTTTTTGAAGAATTGGTTTTAATAGTGTGATACTCTTGATGTTTCCTTTAAGTATATGGTATTCCCTGTGTCAAACTGGAAGCTGGAGAAGAATTCTGTCTAATCCTAGGAACTGAGGACTCATTTTCGCTATGTCCTATTTTTTTATGTCACAGTTACCCTTGTTCAAAGCACTTTTTTCTTAGACTCGAGTGTTTCAAAATACTAAAAGGTGACACAAAACAGTGAGGTAGACACCAAGAGTTGCCATAGAGCCTGTAGTGTTGGATTTTTTTTGTATGGTTTGGGTTTTTTGTTTGTTTTTATTAAGAGTATGATCGTGTGGTGTTACTGTTTATATCTCTGAGCATAACTACTCATAACTGACTGATATATCTCAATAGACTATGGAAGTAAAAATTCAGAAGTTGGAAAATGTCGTAAGTGAAGTAGGAAAAAATGCCAAAGAGAAAGATGACAGGATAAACAAGTTACAAGCACAGATAAGAATACAAACAGCAACAAGTGAGCTCACCCAACTGCAAGCCAAACTGAATGAGTCGGAGAAGTGCCTCAGAACTGCCTTAACAGAGAATCAGACTCTTCAGGTATGAACAAAATACTCTTCTCATTCTCCTCCCATCTTGGAGAGAGTGAGCGAGCATGCTTGAGAATAGCTGTAGAAGAAATGTAGCTCTCTAAAGTCAATTTATTGTTCTGTATGGTATTCTTAGAGTAAAGACTCTACTCGCCTGTTTAGTGTGTGGTTTCACATTCTGCCTCTTCAGAGGCAAAATTTAGAACCGATGTTATGATATTAGAAGCTAAATTTATCATTTGTACGTGACGCATTTCTGAAATATTCTAAAAAGATTTTATATTTTGAAACTGAAGTATGAGCTGTTTTTTCTGTGTAATATATTTGCATACTAGTTCAAAATTCCCAGACTTACAGCTGCAAACATGTCAGCAAAACTTGCTAAAATATGATTGCATGTTATACACCAGAGTTAGGATGCCAACTAATACTGTAGTGCTAGTTGGTAATCTGGGCCTTCTTACTCCAAAATAACTTCCTGCTCCTAGTCTTGTCCTGCAAAATCTAGCAGATCGTAGTGAAGATACAAAGTAAGCAACCTCTAAATTCATTGCTAAGTGACAAGCCTTTCTTCATACCAAATCTTTTGCTTTCAGGCAAAATTAGATAAAGGTGCTGAGTTGTACAAAGAAGAAATTGATCATCTCAAAACACAATTGGTAAAATATGATATGGAAAGAATGAAACAATCCAACTCTTTTGATATGAAGTAAGTTCAAATTTTACCTTGTTACAACTCTCAACTACTTAGTTCTTAGCTTCTATTTTTCTGTTTTTTTTCCACAGAATAAGAAGTGAGCATTCACCTTTAGGTGTCCTAGGCTTTTATTGTAGCTAGATTCCAGAGAAAGTAAAAACCATATGCATCTCGTGTTGATTACAAAACTCCTTCCCTATACACCCACCGAAATTTCTCAACCAACCCATGTTCAGCCATAAAATAAATAACTATTCTGACAAAAGTAGGTGTGGGGAAAGCAGTAATTGAAAGCATTCTCTAGTTCACTGGAGAGAAGGGATACACAGAGAATAATTCTAGTCCAACTTTTGGTTTTCTGCACTTTACCTAAAATTTATAAACTAGGTTTAGGTAGTTTTACCTCTGTAACTTGAGTATGTTTTGTATTCGATAGCTGATCTGGAAATTAAACTAGCTCTCCTGCAACTGTAATAATTATTAAACTGAGGATTTCTATTTCTTTTTTTCTTCCTCCTTTCCTGCCCCATGTAGACTTGCTAATTATAAAGCTCTTGCAGAACACCAAGAACAACAGTTAAGAAAGCTAAAAGAAGAACTTAGAAGAGCACAGCAAGAGCAAGATGTTACTGGTAAATTCAAGATAAATATAAGGGACTCCGAATGAATGTTAAAAAGTTAAACATTCAGTTTTAAGGTTATATGGTTAAAGTCCAGATTGAGATGCAGGCCTTTTACCCCAAAGGGTATGGGGAGGATTGGGTGCGTTGGAAGATGAGGTAGAAAGTAAAATATGTTAGCTGCACATACACTGCATTAGAATCACAGTAGTTCTTATGTTTATTTCTCCAGCTGTGTTTGCACCTGTGGTGGGATAAGCTGCAGTTGTAGTAGCTCATGTTGCCATTTTTTTCCTTGACTGACTTCACATATGAATAGCTAGTTCTAATCATAATTATGACGTACCTGAAACTAAAATTATTTTAACTCTAAATGGCCCAGTGAAGAATCTTTTAAGTTTCTTAATATCTCCCTGGCAGTGTGAATACTGGGAGGTGTGTTTGTGTATAAAAAAGAATAGCTGTTGTAATGGCACTTGTAACCTAGTGAGGTTTTTACATATAAGACCATAGGAAGCAATAAGCTAAAAATATTGACTTGGCTTTAAGCACTGTCCAAATAACACACACACCTGTATACAACTGTTTTCTAGTGGTGCTAGAAAAAGAAGCTCCTCAGCAATCCCAAATACCCCTTACTTGTGGTGGTGGCAGTGGTATTGTGCAGAGCACGCAAATACTTGTTCTAAAATCTGAACAAACTAAGCTACAGAAAGAGAACTCGCACCTGAAGAAACAAAATGACCTTCTACTGAGGTAAATATAAGACTGATCAGCAACATGTCAAATCATTTGTTGCTATTTAACTATGCATGTCATTAGTGTTTCTTTCTGGGAGACCTATAGAGCTGAGTAATTATTATTAATTTTAGATTTTCTAGATTGTTTCACATCATAAACTTTTATTTAAAGCTAGTGATTTACTGCTTATATATATCTTTATGGCTTTTGAACTTTAAATTGCTTTGTTTCATAAGATTCTTAAATGCTAGAAGATACGCTTAAATTGTACGTTGGAAGGAGTTTTAGCTTAAAAATTGCCCCTGAAAGCAAGATACACAGATATGTCTTGCATTGCCATGTCTGTGGTATGTTGTCTGAAATTATAGGAACTGTCTGTTTTCAGGAATTTTTCCTTACTTAAAGGAACTACTTTAAATTTTTCTTAATTAAATGTGGGGGTTTGGTTTTTTCCTTTTCAGTAATGAGCTTCAACTGAAAGAGGAACTTAGAAAATGGAAAGAAAGAGCACTAAAATGGAAAGAACGATGCTCAAGAGAAACCACTCGAGAGACAGTACCAAGGTCTCCAAGGAAGACTGTGTCATATTCCCTTAAAGAACAAATGCCTTCACCCTCCAAGGAACCTATTTCTCAGGAAATTGTGACTCAGGACATATCTAAGCCTCTGCCACTGACTTGTCCAACAAATTTCTTTGATAATTCCAGCTTGGGTACTCTAACAGGTATGTAACACAGTGGTGTTGTCCTATAAAGATTTGGAGAGGCAAAATATAAGGGGTGGTCTGTGAGTTGAGGGTAAATGCTCTGTACTTTCTATATTCAGACATGAAACTTGCATGATAACACAATTTTCCTGAATGGTGAGTCAGCTGACTGTTGAAGGGCTGACCAGCTGGAGCTGTGAAGCTTATATATGCTCTACAGAACCTAAATACTTAAATGAATCCTTCGCCCCCTGAAGATTATACAAACCTTTTTTTTTCTGCAGGGGAAGTGTTGATGACTGACTTTAAAAAGTGAATTAGCAGTATATCATTACTAGATAGCTAATGCTTTAAAATCTTTTGCTTTTTAACTTTATATTGGTTAGGTGCAGACTTCTGGCAAAACTATTCAAAGTTAACTGCTGGTCAACTTTTTTCTAAACTTCTTCAAGATGGTGGACTTTAGTATTCGATGTTGAATCTGCCAGTCTGCCTGGCTCTAGCTGCTTTGATAACTTCTGTTCCTCAGCGCTACTCAGAATTTCTTATATCTGGCCTGGTGACTTCTGGGGAAGTCTCCTAGTGATCTACACTAGCATATTAATGCTACTGCCCTCATCATTACACTTGCTTCTAAAAATTTTCAGAAGGCCCCAGCAGACATGTTGAAGAGTTAATCAGTTTTCAAGGTATTGATGGCAGACTTCCAGAAAGAATAGGACTTGTTGCTGTTTCTTGTGATGGCCAACTTGGTAATAGTACAGACTTCCTCACAACACAAAGCTCCTCAGAGGCAAGCTTTGATAGTTGACATTTAAAAGACTAGTCAAGATTAAATTGCTGTACTCCTACTGCTTGCCTAACTGGGAAAGTTTAAGTGAGACTTTAATGTTCTTGTCTTCTGTATAGATACACGACCTCCGGGAATAGAGCCCACAGAAGAACATCTTAAGCACTGGTTTGGAACGTCAGAGAAAGATAAAGCCCCTGATTGTACCACCCAATAAAAGTGCTCTGTTGTAAGCTGCCTTTGCAGTTGCTACAGCCAGAATCTGCATATACGGAAGATAACTGCTTCAGGTCAAAAGCCATCAGACTCTTCCACAAATTGTGAGAAGAGCTCTGGTGGCATGCAAATCCCTTGCTGTCTTGGAGTTGCTACTTCCCACAATTAGAAAAGCTGGACTACAAGAACAATAATGGAAAAGCAGTCATGTTGCCCACAACCTGCTGATCTGATGATGTTCTACTTTGGTAGGGTTTTTTTTGGATGGAAAAGAAAGAAAAGCCAATGCTTTGAAGAAAAAAATGGAAACAGGAATGGGACACAAACTAATGTACTGTGAAACTTCTCAATCTTAAACTTTTCATTCTGTCATTCCTAAAACAGCTCTTTGGCTGGGTGGTCAATATTTTTATCTTCAGAGTGCTGTTGAGTTGGAAAGAACTATACTTTTTGTTTCTCAGCATATGGTTTTTATACCATGCTTTCTCTAAGTCCACAGAAACTGCATTTTCACCACAATTTTAGCCTCTCTATCTGGACATTGCAACTGAAGTTACTAATTTTCTGTTTACAGGGCACACAATCAAGGGTTCCTCTTAAACTTCTTAAAATATTTCTGCAGCTCAGCCAATTATGGTACCAAAAGTAACTTTGTATTTTGCATCATCTTTCAATATACTTCTAGTTCCTGCCTGAAGTTGGGTATTGGAATTTTTTTAATAGTAAGCAATGGACCTGACACTTTTCTGCTACTCTAGTGAATGGAAAATAAACTGGACAAACAGGGCTGCAAGATAGACTATTTTACTAGCCTGCTTATCTGCATTGTGAGACCTACTCTTTTTGTATAAGAAGGTTTGTTTTGACAATAAACTTTAATTATTTAAAAATATTTTTGCTGGTCACTTCACTTGTGCTATTGATCTAAGGATGTTGATTACAATATTCAGTGTCTAAAGCCTATCTTTTATAGTAACCTCACCACTTCCATCATTATTATGCTTCTTGTCTGTCCCCTCTATAATTTTTTGCAATAATTACTTTGTGCAGAAGTTTACTGTTGCACAAGTCTGTCACTGGTGTTTTAATGTTTCTTTCTAACAGAATCTTTCTCTGTGAGGAAATGTTTGAAGTCTAAAAGATAGATCCTCCTCCCTTTCTTCCCCACATGCCCTCCACTGCCAGCTAAAAGGGATTTGGCACTCAAAACCTGAGATCAACTCTGTTAAGATTGAAATCATCATCGTGATGTGAGAAAGACATACCTAAGAAAGATACCTGCATCAGAAGCATCACCCTTATTTTATAGGACTAAAGCTCTTGATGATGCTATGTCTCTTAAGTACTCCATTTTGGGAGTAAATGATTATGTGGACATGTTCCTGGGCATTCAGCAGTTACCGGAGTTGGAAGAGTTGCACAAGGATTATTTACCTGATGGAGGTGCTTCAGAAATCTTTAATAAAGAACCAACTATCTATTTACCTTGAGTAGCTGAAAACTGCCAACTACTGTAACTAATAAGAAACTGCAAGCATTTATCTCTAAATCTCTGACCTGGAATGTATATTTTGGGAAGCTTTTAAAGATATTGCTAGCCAAAAATACACAGGTTCTAAATAGCATTACTGAGTTGAGCACTGCAATGTCTCCTTTTCTACCACAGCCACAGGTATGTAGGAGCAATTTGTTTCCTGACAGCAGTAAGTGCAAAGCACTGGTGTGTGTTTCGTGGGTTTTTTATTGTTTTGGGGTTGGGGTGGGTTGTGTGTGTGTTTTATTTCAGTTTCCCACTATGGTTGAAAGATATTTCCTTTATCTACCAGCTTTTTTCATTACCTCTATTTTGGTGTTCTAACAAATGAAATAAATTGACTTTTTCCTTCCAGAAGGGGCAAACTAGGTGTATATATAGATCTACCTCTTTTATATACAGTTTCAAGGGGTTTTCTGTTAATTCTTGCTTGCTTGGAACACCTCCTAGATTTGGATTTTTATGGAGACTGAGCTGGAAAACAGGAACCTATTGCAACAGGTCTGTGTCTGAATTCAGTAAGCAAAAAGGTTAGGGACAGAAGGATAAATGCTTTTAGAAAACCTAGTCATTAAAGTTTTTTGTTTACTGGGGAGCTGATTTGCAAAACCTTAGAAAGCTATCATAGTTTAGCAGAAAGACAGTACTACCGAACTTGGCGTATGTGTATCCCAGTTTACCCACAGAAATGTCTTTTCTGAGGACAATGTGCCCAACTGAAGTTCAGGCAGGATTCCAAACTATTTAAGAATGCTGTCGGGGTAGCTTTAGGTCTGGTGTGAGCTTATTATAATTAAATTAGTTTGTCCTAGAATTTTCCAGTCGGATGATATTGATTCTGCCTTAACTAATGTAAGGTAAACCACTAGATACAAAAAGAAAAGTTGGTAAATCACCAGTTTAACAAACAAAAACAAAGAACCTCAACCACCGATGGCCCCCCCCAAAAACCCCTCAAACAAACAAAAAAAAAACCCCAAGAAATATCATGCAAGTATTGTCCTAGTTTGGAATTTGATAGCTTATATTGCTAAAGAGAGATTGCTTGGGAAAAACATGTTTGTGGCCTTTTTTAATGGGAACTCTGTTGATTTCTTGAATTCCTTATGGAGAATGGACGGCTAATGCTGGTGATCCTTTTTTGTTCTTTCCTGTGCAGGAGGAACTCACACTTTTAAAATCTTGAGTTTCACTAGATGGCAGCATCTCAATGTTTCAACAGGAAATTAAGTTCCTATAAAGAAACTTACCAGTGAAACTACAAATCCCAACAAGCACAGCAAAAAAGTATAAAACTTCCTTTTGTACAAAGGTCAGTAAACATAATAAGCTGTTTGAGATCTCTTGGTGAGTGACTGTATAAATACTTATTTTTAAATGTTTCATAGAATCGGTGTGGCAAATGTTCATAAAAACTGATTGTTAGATTTAAAAATTTATAGTGCACTTTGGAAGCAAAGTGTTAAGGTGATTTGGGGAAGTACTTGGACTGATCGGGTTGTTTTCCACTGAGAAGAGGTAGTGACAACAAAGAATAAGAAGGATCTTCCTGTGCCTTGAGGGAACACTTTGAGCTCATTGTTGAGATACTGGGGACTTGCTACAATAATACAATTAACAGAACCTTTCCCAGAATTTTGTGTTTGAGGAGTTGCATTTTGGAAAGCTTGGTACACTAGAGAGACTGTGCAACCTAGTTGTGTGTGTAATCTCATTCTGCTCGGTTAACTTGGTGTTTTTTCACCTGTCGATGCAAAAAGGTTATGCTAAGACAGGCCTGATTACATTTAACCTTATGTAGCCTTCCACCAGAGGCATCTGGAGAGACATCTTTTTACTAGCTAACCTAAAAAGTGATTTTAAGGTATTGTGCTTTTCCCTGATTATTCAGTTACTGTTTGCTTAGGAGCCCGTTCTTTTGTTTTGTGCTTTGTTTCTTTCTTTGTGTGTGTGCGCACGTGTGTCCCAATTATTGGGGGAAAAACAGTGAAACATTTTAATGTCTTGAAACATGGTCTGTAACTCACTCTGACTTTAGATCAAAAGAGATAATGTTTATCATATTAGAGAAAGAATTTTTCAGTTAAACTGCTTCAGAAGAAGTCTGATTTGTTGAATCTGTAACCTTCAGGGAAACATGAGTTTTGCTGCAACTTTTGTCAGGGGAAAGCTGCTGAGAAAACAGATAGAATTTCTGGTCAAAATCGGAGAAATTGAGTAGTCTTGTTTAAGATGTAGGACACTAAATTTGACTCAGTAATCTGAGTCACAGCATGGATTTGCGCATCTCTAGATGATAGCATTGGCTGCTAACCTAGGGGAGATTATGGCATCTTTATCTTAACTTCTCAGTGAAGTACTTGGTGTATCAGATTTATGTATATATTTAAAGACTTCAGGTTCTTGGGACACCTTTCTATACTCCTAGCTACATAAACAAATTTTGCTCTGTGAATTATAAAAGTGCAGAAAGTTTTGCTCATTGGGAACCCAGTTAACAAACACCAGATAGGTCGCTGTGTTCCAGTCAAAGTGCACTTACTTTTTAGGCAGTTCTTTGAAACATTCTGTTAAGTAGAATATTTAGTCCTTAAATAACCAGAAATCCTACTGGAAACTTTTGAATCTGTAGGAGTGAGAGGATGGCATTTACTTGTTTATCTGCAACTTTACATGCTGTATTTATTTAAACATAATGCAGCATTTGAAAGCTTGTGCTTGGGCAGAAGAGGGCTATGACTTGCCTTTTGGGTGCAATGCACTGAGTAAGGTGGAACCTCCTAGAGGTTCCCTACCACTTGCCCCAAGCGTGCTCGGGAGTCCCCTGAGAGCGGGCAATGTGAGAGAGGTGAGACAGGACAGAGCCTCATTCCCCCTGACCCTCCTGCTTCATTGAACTGGGAATCTGCTGTGCTGGAAGATTCCTAATACAATTCAGAGCAGACACCAAGGCCAGGGTATTGTGTGGAATTTATTGCGATCTAGGAAGTCCATGAGCTTGTAGTCTGAGAAGAATAAAAGACAGACCTGCTTTCTAAAAACACAGTGGACAGTGGAGACACTAGATTGCAAACTATTGTACTTCTGTTTGATCTTGACTTTTTTTTTCTGTTTAAGGAAAATTAAAGTCCAGTTTCTGTTATCTGAGCTCAAAAGCCAAGCTTTATTATGTCTCTTGATCTTTTGGAGTTCCTTAGGTTTTTTTGTTGGTTTTTGTTGGTTTGGGTTTTTTTTTTTTTAAATAAGAAAATGTTGAGGCAGTCCCCCTGTGTGTGTGTTCCCCTCCGCCCCCACCGAACCCTGGATGACTCAGGGTCTCACTGCAGCCAAACAGGGCAATCTGTGGTATGATTTGATGGCAGAGGTACTCTGAATCATGCCTCGTTTTCTGGAATGCATTTGTATCTGATTTCCAGGAGTGTTGTTGGCTCATCTCTTTGAAGATTCTGTGACGTCTTCTCTCTGCACAGGTCAGCAGTATGGGTCAGCTTGATGGGAAGATCATACTGCTGTCTGCAGCAGCACAGGGGATTGGACGAGCAGCTGCTATAGTAAGTTGGAAAATGTTTGTTCTCCTGTACCTAAGCTAGGTCTCTAATGCTACCTTGTCCAATGACACCTCCACCAAACAAGTTCTTGAGTTAATAAACCATAGATGAAGCCAGAACAACCCACTGAAAAATTCAGGGACTAATATAGTCACCATGCTGTATCATGCATGCTTTGTGCTGTGTGAATTTCTGAAAGTCTTCAGCTCGGAGCGGTGATGTTAGGCAAGGATAAGGGCAAGATTTGAGAACAGCTGCAACTGCTTTTCTAACAATATATGGTTGTACTGTCTGTACCTTTAATCCAATATCTCTGCTGTATTGTTCTGGGAGAAGATAAGGAGGATAGAGGGAATATTTCCTGTTTTAGGGCTGGATACTGCAAAGGTTCCCTACAGTAAAGCCAAGATGTTTTATCTACACTAACAGTTGATGTAACCAAGTCTATGTGATACTAACAGCACAGCTACAACATTGTTCACAATGAGCAACTGTGAGAAACGCTTTACAAATTTTATTTAATTACTGTTAAACAGAATTAAACATATGTATTAACTTTCTGGTTAACTTTTAATTCCTTTTGACCTGTTCTTCCCCTGCTACTTCCTTTTTCTATAGCAGATAGAGAAACTAATAGAGTTATCTCAGTATCTCTGTAATGTAATCAACAAGTCAGGAAAAGCTCCTGTAAATAGGATTTCTGCCAGACTAGTTAGTTTCTCATGCATGCAGTTAAGAATGCAGAAAACTGCTGATCTTGGCAATTGCATTAAAACACTCAGTCAGAGGAGGAGGTAATTTTCCTGATGATTTCACTGTGTAAATACCCAACCAGCCACGGAAGGCTGGCATGGTTAATGACACTATCCTCTTAAGCTGCATTTGAGACACTTATTTTGAAGATTAGGGGCTACAGTCCAAGATATCAGAATACTTTTGACATAGAGGTTACTTTGTTAGCATGGCTGTTCATTTATCAGTAATCACAATGCAGAGAAAGCAGGTTTTGAGGGGAGCATCAAGAATGAAGGAATATCTCTGGTTAAGTATCAAAGAAAATTCATGCTTCTTCTAATATTGCTCTATTCCAATGATTTGGATGTGAAGGATTTTCATAAAGTTTATATACCACCATCCCTTTTTTTATGATTCATGCCTTTACCTGTCAAATCCCATAACTTCATTTAAATCCAACAACACAGACCATTCTAGCCCTATCTGTTTGTAATGTGCTTGCTAGTGCATATGCATCTAATAAGGGCAATAATAATACCGGTTGTTTTAGTGTGGTTACTGTTCTCATACTTTATATATGGATTCCTTACTTTAAGGAAAAGATCTTAAATCTGTCTTATATCATGTATAGTTACTTAGTTGTCCACAGGATGTGTGGTAGTTGATGTCCATTACTTCCTGACATGCCCAGATTAAAAAGTGAGATATCAGCTGCCTTCAGCCAACTTTTATTTCAAGCCAAAAAGGAAATGAGAAGAAAACAGACTTTATTTCTGGTAAGATCTGGAATATCTAAATATAAACTGCTTCTCTTACTTGTATTCTTCAGGCTTTTGCTAAAGAAGGAGCCAAAGTCATTGCTACAGACATCAATGAGTCTAAGCTGCAAGAACTGGAGAAATATCCAGGTAAATGACCTACAGTAGGCATTAGTTCAGCTCTTCGAAGTTTTGTTGTGGACTAGCTGAAATATAATTTGAGGATAGGGCAAACTTCAAAAGGCCAGAAAAAAATGGAAAGTATCCGGACTAACTCTTTAGATGTTGGTATTGCTTTATTCTGTGGTGTGGAATGACAGAGATTTAGCATGTAAAATACTGCAACATCAGCATATCAGACAGAGTATTGTTCCAGGTGTGTGGAATAACTTTGAGTTTCTTGTGTCACAGAAGCAGTTGATTTCTGCTTCCCAGAACAGCACCCATTTCAATCACATTTTGAGATCACTAGGCTAATTGTCAAACATATCACTCTAGAAGGCTTGGAATGCTTTTCTCTGATCACAAGAACTAACATCCAGGTATACAAAAAGTAGATTTAGTGTCTTGCATTTCCATGGTCCATACTTACTACAGAATTTATTAAAAGGATAGCTGTCTAGTAGAATGCGTATGTCTTCAGAAACTAATTCCACCAACACTAGATAAGCCTATTCTGTTGTACAGATCTGCATGTTGTACTATTCTGCATGTACAAATGCTCAGGCCCGAAGGTTGCTTTCCTACTGATATCACAGGAACATACTTCAAGGAGCAGGTTTTGCATAGCTGTGTTTCTTAATCATAAGTGACACAAGTGTGGGAAATTATATTAAAAAACTATTTTTCCAATCTTGAAATAAAAAATAAGACTTGGATATATTTTGCAACTGAAAAACCTTCTAACTTAATTTGATGGAAGTGGATTTAATGAATTCCTGTTATAGGGTGACAGTCAAATATGCAAAACCACTTTTCTCTGGCACAGCTTTTTAGAGTGAACATCAGTCTCTACTGACTGGAGTTTACCACAAGCAATCCCTTTGTAATTCTTTAGGAACTTCAGGACTTTCCAGGTTCATTCAGAAGGTGTTTAGGAAAGTGTTATGTTTTTGAACTGTGCATTTTTCTTTCCCTCTGCTAGAGTATTCACAAGGAAAGAGGTAATTTTCCATATACTCAGAGCCATTTCCATCCTTTTGACATATGATTAGTTAAGCTATAATTCGTGAAGGCTTGGCACATTGTGGTCTTTGAATTTTATCCAGGAAAGCTAATTCCAGTGCTGATGTTAATCACCAGCCTGTAGTCTAATTGCATCATTATACACAAATCTCTTCAAAAGTATCTATATCATTTCACTAAGTCATATAAAGCCTGTTCATGGACTTGTCAGTTTGGCTTCAAAAGAAACAGATTTTTATCCATTTCAGATCAAATTCTCCCATAATTTAGACATCACTCAGATGCTTTAGACAGCTTTACAGTATTCTATAGAATCATGTACATTGGATGAGACCTCTGGAGGCTGTTTAGTTCCTGCCTACTGCTCAAAGTTGCTCTGGTTAGAGCAGGCTGTGCAGGGTTGTGTTGAGTCAAGTTCTGAACATCTGCAAGGATGGAATTTCCTCAGCAACTTCTGTAGACCCCTGTTCCAGTGCGACTGCCCTCATGGTTTTAAAACAATAATGGTATTTTAAAAACAAACAAAAAACCCCCACCGAAAACCAAACACACCTTATATTCAGTCAGACTTTCCCATATTCCAGCTTCTTACTGTTGCCTTTCATCCTTCCACTGTGGGCCTCCGAGAAGTCTGGCTCCGTCTTCTCTACAGTCTCTCCATAGGTAGTTGTAGACATTTATTAGACTGTGTGTCACTAGTTGCATATGAAAAAATTGTAAAAAAACTATGTTTTGAGGCTATGTTTTTGTTCTGCACTAGAGGTCCCTTCATCCTAGATGCAGGATATGCTGTGATCAGCAGTGAGTCTTAGTGCCCCTGGGAGCCTAATTGTACCCACTAAGGGAACTACTGGAGTACACCCTGACTCCTCCTTTTCCACTCACCCAGATTTCCTCTGGGTGAAAAGTTCATGTATTTGAGAAGGGGGCACAACTCAGTCTTTACACACAGTATGGAGTATGAGTGCAGGCAAAGTGTGTCATGAAGTATGCCTATTCCATGGTAAGGATTCAGCCTTGTTATGGGTGAGAGAAGCTCGTTGTGTTAGATTGCTGGAAGCTACTTAAGCGAAATGAGATAAAATAACGTGTAGGCTATATCATACCATATATTACAGTTCATCTGGAAGAGCAGTTCTTTTACTTTGCTCTTTTCGCTTCTAGCCAGCAGATGGCATGGCTGTTGTTAGTCCCAAAGCAGTTCTGTTACAGGGGCTGATTCTATGAAACAGTGTTTGGAAGAGTTGAGCCTGACCCTGTTTTGCAGTAATTATGTTTCTCAATCTTTGAGACAACTTCTCTGAACAAAATCAGTGTGTTGTTTTTTTTTTTTATATCAGTGGCTTTCTTGAAGGTATGGCACAGGCATAGCCGGGGCTGTAAGTGCTGACAGTAACAGCTATCAGAGGCTGAAATACATAGAAGCTTATAGTGAAAAGCAATGTGTTTCCAGCCCTCTTTTGTTTGATTATAAACAAATAATTGCAAAAATATAAGCATTATATTTTTAAACAAGCCTTCATGATAGAAGCCATCAATTTGTTACACTTCCTCTTCGTGCTTATTATCATAGCTATGACATCATTCCAGGTTATGTAAGTTATTGGCTTATGCAAAATCACTTTCATTAATTAAATGGTATAAAGCTGATTCATCATATCCTCAACTACACATGGATAGGTGGCATGTAATGTGATTGTGAGTGTATGTGGCACATGTAACTAGTTTCAAGTAATTATTATTCTATAACAGTGGGCATGAAAGCTTGTTATGATTATACAGGCTCTGTAATTTTTCAGTTTGAGGGCACAGTGGAATTCAAATTTATTGGAAATGTGTTTATGGTAAATGACATTAGCTCATCTGCTTGTCTGATGCTGTATGACAATCAAATCAGTTGATCTTTTTTCTAATTCCCTTCTGAAATTTTACATAGCATGTCATGCTGTCTGTTGCTGTCCTGATTTAACTAATTTAATCATTAAATGTAGCTCTCGCTCAGTGAGTCTCCATGTGGTGGTGAACCACTGAGGGGACTGTTCCTGGTGAGCCGCTGACATGCATCGTAGATGCAGTCCTCCGCACTTCAGAAAAATAAACTGCTGATCCTTAGCCAAATACACTGAGATGAATACCATGTTTTTCTAGGCATTCAAATACGGGTTCTGGATGTCACCAAAAAGGAGCAGATAGAGAATCTGGCCAAGGAGATTGAAAGGATTGATGTCCTGTGTAACATTGCAGGGTAACCAGCTTCTATTCGATCCTACTTCTTTTTCCAGTTTTCCCTGTCCTCCAGAAGTAGTTTCTTTTACTTAAATGCATTTTATTTCTTTTGTTTTAATGTATTTTATATCTTTCATATAAATTTTCATGTCTTTTCATCAACACTGAACTTTTTGTGCGTAGCTGTGTTACCCAGGCCAAGATAGAACGGCTCTGGAATTTGTTATGTTTTCCCAGCTGCATGGGTGCCCTGTACTGATGGCTTTGGCCCTCCTGGCACAACAGTGAGCAAAGCTGATGGTCTGCCAGTGCATCTTTTTTTAATTTCCCTACTGCCAAACATTTTTTTTGCACATATCAGATCTGTCTTGCGTCTCTGATACTCATCAGGAGAAATACACTGTTTCTTGCTTTCTTCAAAAGAGCTCTTGTCCCTCCTTTTCAAGGTTGGAAGGGTTAGCTATTGCAAAATAGCAATGGAAAATATGCATAAAAAGTCATAGCAATGTAAACCACAGACAGTAACCTACTTCATGCACTTATTCTAGGTTTGTTCATCATGGAACCGTTCTGGAGTGTGAAGAGCAAGACTGGAACTTCACTATGAACCTCAATGTTCGCAGCATGTATCTAATGATCAAGACGTTCCTTCCTAAGGTAAGACTTGGTTGCCTGTGATTTTTTCATCTCTGCTGCATGGTGTTTAAAGTGTGAGAAGTCTAAGTTGTTGCCACTGTGACAGCATGGGCTTTGAGATAAAAAGGCAAGTATGCTGCACTGTATAGGGGAGGCCCTTGGATTATCGTGATCCTACTCTAAAACAGTCTATGCATTGTGTAATCCTTCAAGTATACAACCTATCTAAAGGATCTGGTAGAGAAGATTAATTCAGGGGGTTTGCCCTATGTAATTTGTAAAATCTTTTAAACACAGAGCAGTGAGGGAGTCATTGCAATACAGTGCTACTGTATTATGCTATAGCACATATCTGCACAATACCACTGCTACAAAAGATTTATAAAATATGTATATTAATATGAATTTTATGCAAATCTGGAAACTACCTTGTGAAGAAATTCAGTGCCACTGATGCCAGCATGCTGGTTATATCAGAACAACAGTCCAGTTAGACATTCTAGCAGCTTGAGGATGCTTGTGGTTGACATGGTAACTAGGTTCCGGACTACAAAAATTTGTGGACTGAATAAGGTGTTTGTATTCCTGTAAATCCAAAGGCCAGAAGTGGAAGCTGTGACCATGACTGGATGATGACTACTCTTTTCAGTGGTGTTCCAGTCCTTTTTGTTTGATTGGGTTTTGTTTGTTTGTTTTCTCTTAGCTGATCTTCATTTTCAAAGGTTTTTTTTGTAACAACTTCAGGCATCTCAGGTTTTGACATGCCTAAAAAGGTTATAGCTTAAAGAAATCTAGCTACAATTCAAAGATGCTTGAGAGTTGTGTTTCAGTCTTCTCCAAAGCAATGGAGAAGTGAATTAGTGCATTGGTAGATGGCATGAGCAGATGTCTATGTAGGGTAACTTACTGTGAGGACAAGAGGACAATGATTCAGAGGTTGCTATCTAGGGAAAAAATCCCTTCCTGTCATAGTCTTCACTCCTGAGATGACTTAAGAGAACCTAGTGAGAATTTCAGATTCTGCTTTACTACTTCAGTTAATAGATCAAAAAAAGATAAACACCTATTCATGCCAATTAAGCTTTGTTACCCTGCATATCAATTGCATGTAGAGCTGTTCTGCAAGTTGTTATGGGCTATTTTGCTGGACCTGCAGATGATGAAATAGTTTGCATTTGAATGACATAAGTATTTTTTTTGCAGATGCTTAAACAGAAATCTGGAAATATTATAAATATGTCTTCTGTGGCATCCAGCATTAAAGGTCAGTAGCTTGCTAGAGAGTTCCTTATATAAATCTTTAAAATTATGGGAATGCAAAATAAATATTGCACAACTTTTGAATTTAGGGGATACTGCCAATCCTGTGGAGAGCTGCAATTAAAAAAAGTGAACACATCAACTCTTACATACATGCAATGACACAGATAGGAAATTGCAGAAACACTAAGATGCTTGCCTTTGAGCTTTTGAATCTGTGTCCTGAATGTTTTGTAGCATCCTTTTTGCCAGTTTATATTAACTAAAAAGGAATTACTTCCAGTGATATCTTACTACATATGCTCTTCAGAGAAACAATGAAGAAATTACCGTTATGTAAGTGCTATAGCTATGTTTTCCAAGGAAACCTGATGGTGACTAACAGAAATAGATGGGTGTCTGCTGTTCATAAATCTTCGTCTGCTTTGTTAACTTTTCTAGCCTACTCCCCAAACTTATATTATTGAAAGATCGTGTGCTTTGCTCTGGTGTATCCCTGAGTAGAATTCTGGCAGTCAGCATTCCAGTTAGCCCACCCTTATGAAGACACTACAGGTGCTACAGGAAATGCTGGAGTCCAGAAGCAGGTGCATATTGAATAAACTTGGGTCTCTTTTTTCTTTTTCTTTTTTTCTTTTTTTTCAAATATGTTTCTATACTGCCTTCGTACTGACCTTCTGTTAGGAGTTGTGAACAGATGTGTATATAGTACTTCAAAGGCAGCAGTTATTGGTCTAACAAAGTCTGTGGCTGCTGATTTCATTGAACAAGGTATCAGATGCAACTGCATATGTCCTGGTAAGTATTCTTACATTATTTTGTAAACTAGGAGCAGGTGTTAGAAGGCCCGATTTAGTTTGACATTATTAACAATGAATAGACTTGCAAGTGGCAACTAAAGTTACCAGTAATCAAAAAGAACACTACATGCTTGAAACACTTCTGAGATTTAAAATAGAAAAGTTGTTACTTTTATAGTAAAGCTATATGTTTAGTCTGTTAATCCAGCACATGCACATTATATATGCATTGCACAGTATTTGATGTTTATTTTCAAAGACATAGTCTGGAAGTTAGAAGCAGGCAAGGGCTAGCTAATAGGCTAGCCATCTGAAGTATTGAATCTGATTCGCAAAAGTCTTGCCTGTTATTGAAATTGAGAGTCCTATGCTATGTTGATAGTTTTGCAGTCTTTCTCCTTGTTGTGGTTTAACCCCAGCCGGCAACTAAGCCCCACGCAGCTGCTCGCTCACTCCTCCCCGGTGGGATGGGGGAGAGAATTGGAAGGAAAAAAGTGAGAAAACTCTTGCATTGAGATAAATACAGTTTAATAGGCAAGGCAAAAGCCACACACACAAGCAAAGCAAAACAAGGAATTCATTCACTACTGCCCATCGGCAGGCAGGTGTTCAGCCGTCTCCAGGAAAGCAGGGCTCCGTCACACCATTACTTGGGAAGACAAAATGCCATCACCCCAAACGTCCCCCCCTTCCTTCTTCTTCCCCCAGCTTTATATGCTGAGCATGATGTCATATGGTGTGGGATATCCCTGGGGTCAGCTGTCCCAGCCGTGTCACCTCCCAGCTTCTTGTGCACCCCCAGCCTGCTCACTGGTGGGGTGGGGTGAGGAGCAGAAAAGGGCTTGACTGTGTGTAAGCACTGCTCAGCAGTGACTAAAACATCCCTGTGCTATCAACACTATTTCCAGCACAGATCCAAAACGTAGCCCCATACTAGATATTATGAAGAAAATTAACTCTGTCCCAGCCAAAACCAGCACACTGCTGAATCATATTATGAAGTTACATGTAAGTGTTAAGACATACAAATAGAACTAATGAACTGCATTTTTTGTCATGATTGTTGATGCATTTGATTATTAATGCTGAATTTAAAATTTTACTTAGGAACTGTTGACACACCATCTTTACAGGAAAGAATCCAAGCCCGGCCTAACCCAGAACAGGTGAGAAAGCAATTTATTAGTTTGATCGTGTGCATACATACATTTAACTCCGTTTAAAAAAAAAAAAAAAAAAAAAGGCATTTCTGCCCAGATTCAAGAATGTCCCCTATTTCAGAGTACCAATGATAACTTATAAAAGTAGTGTCTCCTTTGATAGTTTGGTCAGTCTGTACTCAATTGAGACAGAGGTCTTAAAATGCCTTACAAGGATAGTATTGCTTAGTGAATACAGAGAGTCTGTCATCTGTGTAAGTACTTGCAACCATTGGCTACAATATCTAGTGCAAAGTTAGAAGACATCTGCTACTGTGGCATGTGGCAGCCACAAACTAGTGCAAAACCACGACAGAAAAGGCATTCTGGCCTATGCATGTCAAAATTATTTGGGATCCTTAACCATACCAACTAGATAACTATGAGCCCTCATTTGAAGGGCCTGGGAATATCTACCACCAAAGGAAGAAGGACTTATGTTGGCTTTATTCTGGAACCAGAGATTTAGGTCCAGTCTCCTACTATTTTTCAACCCGAAATTCATACCACTGTTAATCTTCCAATTTCTTTTTCTAGTATAAATTCCATACCCAGTGTACTAAAGGAAGTTATGACTTACAGTCTGTTTCCATTATTGCTTTGTACATGTCAGACTAATCTGGATTAAAATAATTGTTTTATTTTTTCTTAATATACCACATGCTCTTATGTAGGCATTGAAAGACTTTCTTGCCAGACAGAAGACTGGTAGGATGGCTACTGCCGAAGAAGTGGCCCATCTCTTTGTGTACTTGGCCTCTGATGAAGTAAGTATGGAATGATAAAATTTCCTGTCACAGTATCCCATGCTACTTTGCTGCATCACAACAGAGGGAATTTGTTTTAGGAGGATTTATATTGTCTTTGAGCTGGATTATTACAAAAGTAAAAAGCTGACAATCTTTTACTTAGTTCAGCCTACAACACAAAAAGCACTCTGAATGTTGACAGTGATTGTTAAGGCATTATGTGTTTGGTACCATTGTCTGGTTGTTTCATGTCATCTGAGCAAATTGACTGACCCAAGTTCATCCGGAATGGTATGAGAAATGGGCTTGTCTGCTTTTCCAAGTTTGCACCACGGCTAGATTATGTTTTAAGGAGGTAGAATTAGTAGTCATCACCTACCTTCACTATTCAAGAGCAAATATTTGTGTAGAACTGCTGGAGGCTTTAGCTAGAAGGGCTAATGCTCAGACTAAATCCACCCTTTCAGCATAAGGAAAACAATAGACCCGCTGAGGTTGTTAGAGACCAAACTCTTAATGACCACTGCAAATACCACCAACACTAATGAGCACACATCAAGGTTATTTCAGATGCCATAAACTTCCGATGAATCTGAAATTGGACTGGATCCTCTGGACTTGTCCAGCAGTCCTACTGAGTGTAACAGAATACTTTAATGGAATTAATTCAGTCTTAATGTTGCTATCTACCAGTAATCTGTTTCTCATTTTCCCCTTAGTCTTAGTGTTCCTGTAAAGCTATTGATTTTTTTTTTTCCCCCCAGTCTGGTCATAGGGCTTTCAACCACGTGTAGACAGAATTCCAGTTTTCCAGTATATTCCAGTATGCTTCAGTACTGCTGTACAGAGAAGAATGTCAACAGCTCGGTTGCTTACTTCACTATTCTGCACCATCTAAATTTTCATTTAGGCCCCCTTATAATTATTAGCTGACCTGGTCAGATTCTGCTCAGCTGAACAGAGCTAATAACATCATAGTGTGAGGTGGTATTCCTGCAGGTGAGATATCTGAAGTCTAGCTTATGTGAATTTGTACACTCGGGATGCATTCTCATCTTAATGCCTCTAATAATACTTTTGCTACACTCCCGAGTTAGCTGAAAGGCTTCCATTTCTAAGTTTGTTCACATTTTATTTATTCAGATATTTTTGTAAAACAAAAGAAGTGTTTGTATAAAAAGAAAGCAGTTCTTTAAATTTAAAGAAAAAAATGTTTCCCTGTACTTAACAGCCATGAAAAATTCATTAAATTATAGTTACTTTTTATGTAATTTCAGTCTGCCTATGTGACTGGTAATGAACTAATCATCGATGGAGGATGGAGCTTGTGATTGACCCTACCTGCAAATGGAAATTCATACTATGAAAGGCAAAAAGTGAGGATCGTGTTTCTCAGTTAAGATAGCTTGCAAAGATTTAGATCGCTCACATGATGTCTTTCAAAACACATTTGGTGCATTTCTACTGCTATATGGTCTCTTTATAGATTGATCTTACCAATTCACTTTTCCCTAAATAGTGAAACACTGGAGTAAAACATACTTCATGTGGTTTCATTTTGTGGTAACTCCAAAAAATAAAAGAATAGCAATTTAACGTTCAAGACTTCAGAGGGCAAAGAATATTATTTAAAGTACAAAATCTGAGTTGTGTTTTAAGCAAAGCTGAGTGAAAGGAATTAAATACTACCTTTATTCTCATCCTGCAAAGTATTGGGAAGTTAAACAGTCACCATTAGATTTCCTACTAGCATTGACAGACTATCTAGAGAAAATGGAGCAACTACTATTAAATCAGCCAAATGGATCCTGAACTAAGTGTGGTTTAAGCAGAAGAAAGCAGAAATAATACCAAATTTGAAGATTTGAACATTTGAATCCTTTTGTTACTGGTAACAGATGTTTCTGTGTTAGAGAATATACTAGTTGCACATTGTACTTAAAGGACGTTCTGCTTTGTAATTTGCAAAGTAAGTTCTTTCTGCTCTGTGCTATCATTAGCCAAATGTTTCAGAACTGTAATAGCTGTAGAAAAACATTCTGAATTGTTGAGAAAAAAAAAAAAATGTCCCTAGCCTAACAACACTTACAGATCCAAAGTGGGTGGTGCAAGACAGTCAAACACACTGTAGATACATGGTGTATGGGCCCATGAAACTTCCCATGCATATAGTAAAGAGTCAGTGTATATGCACAGCTGGTTTGTGCAACTGCAACGTCCATTTTCCAGATCCTGGGCAAGGTAGGCTGTTAGAATCGGGAAAACCGGTAGATCATAGCACAAAAGGTAGAACAGATTACTCTGTTATTACTCTGTTATTACTGTTATTACTCTGTTATTACTCTGTTAAAAGGTAGGATCGGCCACTTTGTGGAGCTTGGGAGGTTTTTTTTTTGTTCAAGCACATAACAATTATAGACGCCATCTTCATGAAGCAGAAATGATGGAGAGGAGCCTGCTCTAATGGTTGTTAAGGCTAAAGCTTATAGCATGTAGAGAGCATAGAGAATCACATGTACTTTTACAATAAGTTAGAAAATGAGTACATTAACTAGTACGAAAGAGGTGAGAAATAGAGGCCAGAACTGTTTCATTAATGGTATAGATTATTCCTAAAATGGTCTTGGAAGTATCATTACTATTTTTTTTCCCATGTACAGAAAGTATTACGCAAGGACGTCACTCAGTAGGCATGGATGGGGGTATATGTGGAAGAAGAAGTATTCCTAAATACACAGGTGGATCTTCATGAATACGCTTGACTTCTGGCACATGAGCAAAAGGAGTAGATTTTACCACTCCATCTAGAGCCAATATATTCTTCTTCAAAAGGATGTACTAATACTGGGCAAATACTGTCAGATCTGTATGCTAGGTGCTAAGCTTTGGTATTCTATTGCTTGATTCTCAAATACCAATACAGTTCACGCTAAAGCACAAGGCTAAGTTTCTCTGAAAAGGACTGTTTCTACAAGAATTTGTGTTGATGTTTTTATTGTGATAGTGCATGGTACCTTTGATTTATGAATCAGAAACCTATTATCATAAAGTCTCATGCTCTGGAAAAAAACATAGATCCTGACCCAGAGATCTAAGGCAATGAACAACCTGAATTCCAGAACTATTTGTTTTCCTAACATACTGTTAAATTTGACATGAATGACATGGGCTGACTGCCTATAAATATGGTTACCTTAAAAATAAATAAATAAATTTGCACACAGCCCCATTCATCTGGTTTGTGAATGAAGCTGTATGCAATTTCATATGTATTTATATATATTAAATACCTACATATGTGGGGGGAGGAATTAAAGAATAAATGCTACTGAGTATGATCAGTAATCAGAAAGCACACGGAAAAATGTACAATTTTTTTTGTGTTTCTGGAACAACTGCCATGTTTTAAAAATTATTTCTTAAGCTTTTTAATACTAGCTGAAGCATTAGTAGAAATTATTTGATTTCAAAGATAACGAAATTTGATTTCAAAGAGCATGTCTAGTTAAAATCAGGGTTCTTATTTGTAAAAGTTACATTTACTTACAATTTTAAAATGAGACAGTATTGTGGGTGGTGGCTTCCTCAGGCTCAATATGGGTTTAACTTTCACCTTTAATGATGGTTGGAGCATTCTGATCTTGTGTAGTTTGCTTATGGGGTTTTGAGTGTCTAATATTTCAATAAAGTGACCCTGGCAGCCAAGCAGGATCAAGTTGAGGCAGAAATCCAAAGTTATCCAAAATGGCTCCACCAATGTTCACTGACATAAATGCAAATGTTAAAAGTTCAGCCTGGCAGGATACTGTTTCAGTGCTTTCAGTGTTTAATATGAAAGCCAAAGTCCTTCCTCTGTAGTAGGTGTAGAAGGCTTACCCTGAAAAGAGACTCTCATCGCTGCAGCAACATGGGAAGCTAGCACTGTGTGCTCTGAAAATATAATTAAGACTCTCAGAGAAACTTCATTATACATATTGCATATTGAACTTTATATTAGTTAACGTTTCTAAGCTCACTGGTGATTGTAATATACAGATACTACTCAAACGGTTTTTTTCGTCAAAGCATACCTGCAAGGAAAGGAGAAACCATCCTCTTTTTACATTGCACTAAAAGCACAGATTTTTCAGTGGTAGTCCAAGAAGCTGGTGGACCAAAAAAACCCAAACTAACCAAACAAAACAGTGGATATTCCTGTCTCTTGCCTTATTAGCAATGCTTTTCATGGATGTGTTAATAGGTACAACTCTGAAATGTGTTACAATGTTGAGGGATTTTCCATCAGACTTGCTGGAATTATTAAAGGAGAATGTTCCTTAATGCTCTTGTGACTTCTTAATTCCCTGGTCTGTTTTTATGGAACCGGGTAATTCTGATTCTTTTCCTTCCACTCCAGTGATAATATAAAGAGGATTTTTTTTTTGATTCTTCAGATCCTAGGTCAAACTTCTCTTTTGTGGGGGAGGGAGAAAGAGACTTCCCTGATTCAGAATCCTTCTGGAAAATTTTATGTGATCAAAAAACAGCGCTCAGATTTGTAGCCATCTTAATTCTGTGTAATGCAAAGCAGCAACACGTGGCATTTGAATCTGCTTTCACCTGCAGCCAGTGCAGGTTGCAAAAGGAGGCTGAGTGAGAAGGTCTGTCTCAGTCCCGCATGTGCACTTCCAGATGAAGTGGACACACTCGATTCTTCTTCAAGAAGTAGAAATCTCTTGGTGAGAACGCCACAAATATGCAAATTTTTTTTTTTTTTTAAATTTTCTTTTCCTGCCTGCCCCAATGCCATCCTGCACGCACCTAGGCAGAATCACCTAGCGAGCGGTCCTTCCCCTTTCTTCGCCCCGAGCCTCCAGCGGCAGTGCTGCGGTCCGAGCAAGGCTCGTGTGGAGCTCCCCACGGCCGCGGGGAGGGCAGCGTGGCAAGAGCAAGGCACCATTTTAACGCGTCGTACGGGTTACGGCGCAAGGGCGCGGGACGCGGCGGGCTGGCTGCGTGAGGCGCA